GTATTTTACATGCAATTGACAAAGGCCTGCTTTCTTTTCATGAAAGGTTCCTTTCAAAGTTTGTTCAACTAATACATTAAGCAAGAGACAATTGGTCATTGAAAACTGTAGTTTGTTGTGACAGTCTTATTAAACACTTTTTAAACTAGTGGGAACTATTCATTTTACTGGATTCAGTCACTGAGGTGAATCGAGGATTTTCTTTTTTTTTCCTCTTCCCTTTTGCTTTGTTTGTACACATGTTTTCTAATCAAGGTCGTCCTTGATTCGGTTCCTGTCCTCAATTAATCGATGATGTTGCACGTGTGTGTCCTCCATTTACACCATAAACACGCACACCCAAGTGCGTATTTGCCTGCAATCGGGAACCCCCTATTGTCCCTCTTTTGTTTGTACTTTTATATTTTAGGTAGACCTCCCATAGGTTTTGTATACCCAATAGGGGACCCTTCGGGAATTGGGGGCCCTATTGTCCTCTATTGTTCAACGCCCCCTATTGAATGCAGAAACAAACTCACTCACACCCACTTTTGTTTTACTATACCCCTGAAGACAATGATTGTATTTCCCTTTGTCCCTGTAATATACACTCCCCCATAGACTACGCACACAAACTTACTACAGAGGACCATTTTCAACAAATAACATAACTCCCGAGGACTGAAAGGATCTGTTGTTCTCCCTTTGTGTGTCAGTCCTCAGGGTTACATGTATGTAGAACAGGTACAGACATACAGACATACACACAGAAGGAATACGCTACATCGCTTACAGCCAGGGGGGTAAAAATCATCTTTTTGTACCAATTTTGCATACAGGGATGTTTATTATAGTTTATTATGGTGGCGGTATCATGTGGAATAATAACACACTAAATCAGATAATCTGATATTCAAGATTGTCCATTTTTCAGTGATTTCAGTGAATTTCGTAATTCCATTACCATTGATGGAGTATGGTACATGGTAAAAGAAACCAAAAGATGTCTAAGGAGACTGAGTACAATGATCATAAACAAAAACTAGCTTTCATTGGGTAACCAAACAAACTTCTTGATATTTTTAACATTACACAATTTCAAGTAGGTACTAATCTAATGATACCGGTAGTTGTCATAATTTTTAAGTTTGACATCCAGTTGACTTGTACGTATATTGGCTCATTTTAAAGCCAATAACATGTCAAGTGTCAGCACACCTATTTAAAAAAAAATCTGACATAACAATTGGAACTTTTTAGGAAAATTTCAGAGAAGTAATTCCATTACCATATTACGTAATTCTGTTACGGCTAGCAATTTCTGGTAAATAAGGCCAAACATTAAGTATTAATGCCAATATACCCAAAACATCCTGCTCGTAGATAGCTGACACCATGCTATGAAAATGAGTATGAACAATAAGCTTCTAGGTGTTATAAAAAAGGTAGGTAAAGGGGATGAACCTGTGTTCACAGGAATGGAGTGCCCATCTCTCTTTCATTAGTGATAGGCCAGACTCATATCATGCTGTGGGGGGATCGCCACACCTCCTCCACAGCGAGTCTGTTACCTTCCCAGCATTGAATAATGCCGGTACCCATTTAACATCTGGGTTGAGAGGAGTAATTGAGGTAAAGCACCTTACTCAAGGGCACAACACCACGCATGGCCACGGCGAGGCTCAAACCCACAACCTCACAATCATGAATCCTGTGCTCTACCGCTAGACCACACATGCCCGTGTGGTCTAGTGGTGTTATAGATGTCATAGAAATTCTTCTGAAATTTGAGGGAAAAATAATATCCAATTTTCCGACGTAATTCCGTTTATACCGACACATTTTGGGCCATGGATCTTTCCACATACAGGAAGTTTCAATTTTTCAGTTTGATATGATAGCAGGGGTACCGGTAGGCCTTATAACCAGACCATATTAAAGTGTTTGTAATCAGGTAGGCTTTTACTTTACTTTATTTCATCTCAAGGCATAAAAGAAAACAGTTTGTACTTAGAATTTACTATGATTCAGGTAGCTTTTAGAAAATAAAGATAAGAATAACATTGGAATAACACCACCAAGAGATGCAGGGGACCCACAAAAAGCACAGCTTGTCGAGAGTGAGTCCCCTGAACATAAACAACAAAGAAGATACAGGATGACAAGAACGATTAGAAACAAAGACAGTATGAAGCTAAACAAAAACCATATACACAAAAATAACGGATTTTTGGCTAACTTTGACAGATTTTTTGTTAAAAAATGAGTTTGACAGAAAATTTAACAGAATGGAATTTTTTGGCAGAAAAACATAGCAAATTTTTAAAAAATGGTATCTTTTTTTAAAAAAGCTTCAATCTTTTCAAACAAACCCTAGCATAATGGGACAGGTTGGCTAGTCTAGGTGCTGAGGTTCACTGGGAATGGATTTTCGTCGTGACGCAACCGCGTTTTGCCTGAAATTTACGCAATTTCATAACGTCTTTATGCGACTACAGATTGTTTATAATGTAATTTGAACCTTAATTAAGGCAATACTACAACATCTGCATGTTTTTATAGTGTATTTCGAGTAATTCTGGGTAATTTGGCAGATTTTTGATAAATCTGACAGATTTTTGAAGTGCAGACTTTTGCCATAACCGTACGGTCACCCTGGTCACGATGTCGGAAATCAACTTAACCTGTACATCTACATCTACGCAGGTACTCAGCAAAGTCCACTTCTGGATGTTAACGCTGAGGTGTATCCTAAACCAGGATGCTCCTAATTTAAAATATACAACAAATATCAAACAAGTTTTTTTTTATGTGCACAGCCACTTCTGAATGCATAAGTGGTCATTTAATGGTCTTCATCTTTCATTTTACTCGGAGAGTGAAATTTATACAGGTGTTCAGTGCATATTTGTTTCATTTTCTGGTGTGTTCATGTGCAATCACGTCGTGGCCGGCCATGTGCAGTCGGCCGTATATTATGCTCGTTTTGGGGCCACGGGTGACACTAGTAGTACGATCGAGACTGCAAGAAGTGACATTGCAAATAATGGTATCATATTTCTGACAGCTCGGGCATTTCCAAGAACAGATCCGGCGCGGTTCTAGAGCCTATATTGGGGGGGGGGGGGGGCTAGCAGGGGTGGATCCAGACATTTTTGCAGGGAGGCGTGCTGAAATGTAGACCCTTTTTTTTTGTCCAGACACTTAGACATCCGAAAATCAATAGGTGGGGGGAGCAACATGTAGGTTTGAAAGCTAGCAGAACTCCCATGGTAGGCGCTTAAGAATGGAACTGATGGAAATTTTAAAGTATTGAATGGCGATGACCCCTTTCCAAGCATTATAAAGCACATAATGTAGGATTGAAGCAGAAGGATCATTTACTAAAGTGTGTATCTGAAATCTTCCACCAATATAATATACCAACATATTATGTCAATATATTAAATCTGGTTTGATTCATTGCGATGCTGTCTGACATTGCGTATGGTACACATTTCGGAGGAGGCTGTTCTTTTCTATCTATATGGAAGTCAATATAGTTCAAGGTTTCATTGAGCGCAGACAACACCAATAGTGTCAAAATTTCAGTGGGCAACCGAGTGGACTATTATTTACCGATTATATCGGCTCCAGCGTGTATGTGGGGCTTTACAAATCATCTATAGCTCTCTGATAGATGCTTAAATCTGATTTTAAATAGGATAATGCAAGAAGTCTTGTTCACAAGTATAACTCCCAGCTTTATATCCACGCTTGGCTTTTATCAAAGAACTTAAAGGGATTAATGTACATCATTGGCATTTGCTGTAATTTTCAGAATGAACTATTTGAGGGGTTAGTATCCGCTCCGTTATGAGCCACCCCCTCACCGGCAAAGAAAGTACAGTTGGGGGTGATCGACCGACGCCATCTTGCCTGACTGCAATTATTTTGCCGCGACGCGCGGCAGCACCACTGCGTGTACATATTACAAATCCCCTGGTGTACGTGCGTCACACACAAGGAACGGTGTGCATCAACCAGCTAAATGTCCCGCCCATGGGACGTCGTTGTTAGGTAAAAGGGCGCCCTCTTTGTTAGCGCATGGAGCTCATAATAGATCAAATATTGTTACACTGATATGTTTAAAGTTTCGTGTTCGAAAATGCTGAAAAAAAACAAGAAAAACAAAAATGTTCAAGTAGTCTGGTTCCCCAACTTAACTTAAGATGAAATGGATCAAGTTAAAGATGCTGGAAAATTGTAAAGTAAGGGGACCAGTCTAGCTGGCCTGCACCCGTGCATGAACATGTAACCAATAGCAAACACAATTTGGACTGAAACAAACGGTAAATTTGGAGCAATAGTTGAACAATAGTTAGGTTTTTCCAACGGTGGTCGGCCGACCACTGTTGGAAATGTATACAAAATTACCATTTTCTTGAAATTGACTTCACACCAGGTGCCATAATTTTACAGGATGCTTTAGACAGTCATTTACCAACATCCTAGTAAGGCATTTCGTAAAAACTTGTATTTTCTCTTCAATGGAGAACCAGGATATGTTATCACCAATGCATAGTGCAAGACAATACTGACTGGTCATATTTGATGTTGAAAGTTTCTCAGTGCAGCAGAAGTTACGAGATCATTGTTCTAAGGTGTTATTACTCCATCATAGTGACGTATATTTCTGAAAATCAAGGAAACCAAGATGAAAGTGTGTGTATAAACCATGGTGGAAGAACTAACAAAATCTAACTCAGGATCTTAGTTTTAAGGAAAGGTTGTGAGAACTCAGAGACAGAAAACAAATTCTTAGTGTCAAACAAAAAAAGGCAATATGTGTTCACTTGAACTTCAAGACCAAAACAAGTATAAGGTAACCATAGCAACTCAGCCTGAGTGGTGCTTTTAAATGAGGATTGCCTTGGTCAAGATGATTTGTTTGTCTTGGATGTTTCTGTCCTATCCTTGCTTTATGATATTTAAGCTTGTCCTCACATTTGACATAAACCGACAGTACTTTAAATACTCACATGCCGAAGATAGTCTTCTAAGATATTTCCAAGCATTATTATCGGGGTGTATTTTACAAAGCTTGCACATTAGAGGCCTGAAAAGAGAAATGAGAATTACATGTTTGACAACATAAAATTATCACAACTAACCAGGTGAAAACTTATCAAATTCATTAGAAGCATAAGTGGTCTGGTCATCTGTGCCTGGATTACCAGCGAGACTTTGCATCATTCACTGAAAGCATAGTTTGTAATGTTAAATTAAAAATTAAAGAGAGAAAGCAATACTTGAAGTGCAGTTTCAGAGGTGTAGGCATAGAGCTGAATGGGCTCCAAATCCGGGTCACAAGGTGATAAACTACCTCTATGCAAAATTCATTCTGTATAAAAGGAACTAGTTGTGATTTTCAAAGTCTTTTAAAAACCATACAGAGATTGTTTTGCCATTCGCTGTTTATATTTGTCAAAATCATTTTCGATTTCCTCCTCTGGCTATTCAGTTTTCCAAATGTGGGAGGCGAACTAAGTTTGTTATATAATGTACTTGGATACTGTAATTCCATTGGTCTAGGACGACCATGTGTCTAGACAATAAAAATGCATGCCACACACCGAGGGTGATATCGCACAGCATTTAATGCACACTTTTTGCGTGCGTGTGGAACCTGCCGGCGTGCTAGCTTTGAGCAATCCGCACAGTTTACATTATCATTGTGATATGGTATTAAGGGGGTAGGAGTCAGACTTTAGTTAAAATTCGGATTTTACTTCCCTTTTTAAAAAAATCCTCGGGAGCCATGAATTCCGTTGTTAAGTTCCAAGTTCCGTTGTTACCGGAAGTGCAATAGATATTTAATTTAACTCGAAAACGGAAGCATTTTACAACAGACAAATACATTATTGAAGTGTTACCCCATTGCAAAATACGAACTTGTGTACTGTTGAACCCATTTTTACTGTCACGATTTTGCTTCTCCATCTCGTTGCAGTCTACCACTCTGCCTCCCTGGCCTCACCACTGCTCTTAGAGTCACTTTGAGGCCAATATTCAGAAATATTTCGACAAATGCAGTTAGGCACAACAAACAACTTCACCACACCCCCCCCCTTCCATTAATAAAACAAAAAACAGTTTGAATCCGCCAGTGTAATTGACTTCATTCTTTAAACGCATCTTAAAATTTTACATTCCATGTATTTACATGTATATTATTGTATACAATTATGTTTTCTGTTCCATTTAATCAGATTTAAGTATGAAATTTATTTTGAGATTTTAGCAATGCACACAAGCATTTTGAAATGAAAAATACATAGGAAGGAAAACATGGAGCAAACGTTTAGTTGAATATCCAGCTAGATAAAGCAGTTGTTGCAGACATGTCAAATAGGCCTACTAGTCAAAAATGTTACTTTTACGGATATAAAAATATACACTGTACAAACGTTTGTGCACAAACCAACAGAAATGTAGGAGCGCGTAGCACCATTTTGCCCATCGCACTGAAAAATGGCGCTGCCCATGAAAGAACGACACATGGCATGCGAAACGCATGGCGCATCAGAACGAGTTGCCGATCTAGTCTAACTATTCTATATATACAGGGCGCCGGCGTGCATGCGCGAGCACGCATACAGTCTTCACATGCACAGGACATGTTCGTACTGAGGACGTTTAATAAGACGAAAGCATGGTTCTTCAATTTGTTTTCTAAAAACATGTCGCCCACAAACATATTACCTTTTTCTAAACCAAGCATCTTTGTAATTCTGGACACAAGGAATATGTAAACGAAATTTTCCATAAGGTAAAACATGAATAAAAAGTTGTATCTGGACGTCAGCATGGTCATGGGCGTCACCAGGATGGGGCAAGGGAAGGGGGGGGGGCGCGGAAGCAAAAAAAAGTGTAACTGGACGTCAGCATGGTCATGGGCGTCACCAGAATGGGGCGCGCTCTCCACCCCCCCCCCCCCCCCCATAAAGCACCAAAAAAAGGGAGAAAAAATAAATAAATAAATAAATAAAAGACTGATGTGAAGTCATTATTTGCATAATATGCGTAAGTGGTGAGTTACCACTTACCATAATATATTTGTACATCAACGAACCAGTATGATTATTCATGAGAACAAAACAATGATATCAAGAGCATTGTTGTTACTTTTTAGTCAACCCGTTACATTAATTAAAGCATTTTTAAGAATGGTTGTCGTCGTACTACACAGTAGCCTAGTAAAGTGAGATTAGCTATGGATACAAAAATATCGTCACTGCTCATTTTCATCGGCTATTTGGCTTTTTCGCAAATTTGCGAAAAAGCCTTTCTTTTTGTTCAGATTTTTCTTTCTTCTTCTTCTTCTTCTTCTTCTTCTTCTTCTCTTCTTTTCGTCGCCTTAATCCCATAGACTTTGTACTCATTTTTTCTCAACACCACTTTTGGCATTAATCTTTGTCGTACATCATTCAAAGTCAGCACAGGCAGTCCCTATAGCAAAGTTGTGTCCCGAAGAGTGACGTCATCATGACGTCCCCATGGGTCACTTGACGTCATCACAAATGTGCAAACTTTAAGACCCTATATCTACAGAGCCGTAAGTCCGATTGGGTTGAAACTCGGTATGTAGGTAGACTGGGATGTGTTATAGGGTAAAAATTGGGGTAACGTCATGATGACGTCATCGTGTGATTTTATATGAATTTTTGACTTTTTGGACCTTTAAGTCATATCTCACGAACGCAACATGCAAAATTCGAAATTCTTTTTGTATTTGGTTCGTTAGGTATAGGCACAAAATTTTGAAAAATGTGTGACATCGTCATGACGTCATCAAAAATGCGATTTATAAAAAAACATATAAGGGAAAGTCTGATCGTCTTGAAACTTGGTGGATTGCTAGATAATGGTACTAGTATGCAGAATCCGAAATGACGTTACCATGACGTCATCGATTTATTTTTTATGATTTTTTAAATATTTACAATTTTATTCTGCTTACAAAATTTAACACTTTTATTAATCTGATTAGCTTCAAACCTGATACAGACTAAAAGCACAATTAAATAATAAGCACTGCCAAGTATTGTTACAATGACGTCATCATGGCACATGACGTCATCATAAACGTGCATACTTTATTCCCTATATCCCATGAATGACTTGTCTGATTGGGTTGAAACTTGGTATGGGGGTAGGCCAGAATGCGTTATAGATAAAAATTGAGATGACGTCATCATGTAATTATATATTTTTTAAATTTTGAAGCCTTTGCCCATATCTTTCGAATGCAATATGCTAAAATCAAAAAAAAAATTTGCATTAGGTTAAGGTTAGGCAAGAGGTATAATGCACAACATTTCGCAAAAAGCTTGACGTCATGATGACGTCATCAAAATCATGCCATCATTCTTCTTTTTGTCGCCTAAATCCCATAGACTTTGTACACATTTTTTCTCAGTGCCACTTTCGGCATTAATCTTTGTCATACATCATTCGATGTAAGCATAGTCATAGTCCATATAGCAAAGTTGTGTACCGAAGAGTAACGTCACGATTACGTCATCATGGGTCACGTGACGTCATCACAAACTGCATATTTTGAAGTCCTATATCTACAGAACTGTCAGTTCGATTGGGTTGAAACTCGGTATGTAGGTAGACCGGGATGTGTTATAGGTAAAAATTGAGGTGACGTCATGACGTCATAGTGCGATTTTATATGATTTTTGAATTTTGGACCATTAAGCCATACTCACAAACGCAACATGCAAAATTCAAAATTCTTTTTGTATTTTGTTTGCTAGGTAATAAGTATTTGCACAAAATTTTGAAAAACGTGTGACGTCATGATGACGTCATCAAAAATGCAATTTTTGAAAACACATACATGTATAAGGAAAAGTCTGATCCTCATAAACTTGGTGGATAGCTAGATAATGGTACTAGTATGCAGAATCCGAAATGACATCACCATGATGTTATCTTCCTTTCATTGGATTGACTGCAAGCTTGGCTACAAACCAAGACCACAAGCAAAAATGTGCATTGAAAAGTGTTATCAAGATGACATCATCATAAGGCACGTGACGTCATCATAAACATGCATTTTTAAAGTCTCATGTTGAGAAAACTATCAGTCCGAATGGGTCAAAATTGTGTACGAAGGTAGTCCGATACATCTGATTTAATATGGATTTATTTCTTTTTGACGATAACATATCTCACAGACGCTACATAATAAATTAGAAAATTCTTGTACCGTATACTTTGAAACGTGGTGCATGTATCGTCTGGGACGTGTTATTGATAAAAAAAAAGCATAATGCGGAAAAGCCCTATGTTCTGTTGCAAACAGACATAGATCTCTAGTCTTTCTTCTTCTTCTTCTTCTTCTTCTTCTTCTTCTTCTTCTTCTTCTCCTTCTTCTTTTTGTCGCTTAAGTCCCATAGACTTTGTACACGTCTTTTCTGCACGCCACTTTTGGCACTTTTCTTTGTAATACATCAGTCAAAGTCAGCATAGGCATAGTCCCTATAGCAAAGTTGTGTCCCGAAGAGTGACGTCATCATGACGTCACCATGGGTCACATGAAGTCATCACAAATGTGCATATTTTAAAGTCCTATATCTTCAAAACTTAAAGTCCGATTGGGTTGAAACTCCGTATGTCGGTAGACCGGGATGTGTTATGGGTAAAAATTGAGGTGACGACATCGTGTGATTTTAAATGATTTTTTTCATTTTTTGACCTTTAAGCCATATCTCACGAATGCAACAGGCTAAATTCAAAATTCTTTTTGTATTTGGTTTGTTAGGTAATAGGTATATGCCCAAAAATGTGTAAAATGTGTGACGTCATCATGACGTCATCAAAAATGTGATTTTTGAAAACACATCAGAAAAAGTCAGATCGTCATGAAACTTGGTGGATAGCTAGATAAAGGGGATAGTATGCGAAATCTGCAATGACGTCACCATGATGTCATCAGTTGATTTTTAATGATTATTTTATATTTACATTTTTATTCCGCTTCCAAAACTGAACACTTCCTTTCATCCGATTGACTTCAAACTTGAAACAAACCAAGACCACAAT